ATCCTGAAAGAGTTTCTACAGTAAACTTAAACTTATTGTCCAAATAAATAGAGTTTTAAAGTGACCCAGCCGTGAGATTAGGTGATCAGCACTGAATCCTCAGGGGTCAGGTATCAGGGACTGCTAAGCACAGTGATTTGGTTCGTTTTCTTAGAGCATCAATATCCTTGCATATAGTCTCCTTTCCTATAGGAAGAAGCCTTTTCTGCACTCCCAGAGGCACACACTGAGGGGGTCCCTCCTGTATTCTCCCCCCAACACAGCACTTCGTACACACACCTCTTATCAAGTCTTACCGAGTGTGGTTCTTCATTTACAGGCCTATCTCTCTCATTGGAAAGAATTCCTTTAGGGATGGGACCATGACTTATTCATGTTTAGGTCCTTAGCGTGGATCACAGTACCTACCACATATTCGGGAATCAGTTAATGAATATCAGATATGCTTTCATTCAACAAGTAATTTCCCCACTCAAGGAACTTAGGATTGAATGTGGAACGAGAAAATTATATCCTTTAAAAAAAAAGCATGCTGTATGTTGCATCTTAGAAATGGTTTATAAATTGATTTACACACAGCTGCTCAGTAATGCATCCGCTTGCACACATCATTAACTTGGATAATTCAGAGTCATTATAATTAAAGCACATTGGGGTTCAGATTTATTAGGAAGTGTTGAGACATATGAAGAGGCATAGAGAATACTGTGATAAACATTCGTGTGCTCATGACGTAGTATAAGGAATAAAACCTTACCTTTATAGCTGAAACTCACTATGTGCATCTCCCCAGTCTCACCCTACTCCCATCCCCACCCTGCATTTGGTGATATTGATCATTCCAGCACATTTCTTTTTTCTTTTAAAATGTATGTCTGTAAGTATATATTTAGTATTAAAGTAGAGTTGATTTAAAATACTATGTTCATTTCACACACAGTGAAACGAATTCGTACCACACAGTGATTCAACATTTTTATAGGTTGTACTCAGTTTTCGAGCACATTTCTTTATACTTTTACTATGTATGATTATAATCCTGAACACTGTATGTGATCATATGGCATGCTTTCAAGCTATTACATGGTTTGTATTCATTTGTACCTTTTTTCCCATAAACATTACTTTTGTTAGATTCATTCATGTTGATAAGTGTATTTCTAGTTCATTTTCATGATTCTGTTTCATGGGATAAATGTAATTATTTAACCATTCTCTCTACTGGTGGGCATTTAGGATATTTTCAGTGGTTTTAATATTACAAATAAAGTTAGGAATATGCTTTTAGAAAGTCCTTGCTAAACCAGCTAATGGTGTACATTTGGGAATTTAAACTATTTAGGGCAGAGATTCTACATTGACATTAGATTTCTGACATTTTTGGTCAATAAATGTGTTAACTGGATTTCTATTTGCTGAATTACCTTGGTTATAATTTCATAACTGACCTTGTTTCTAAAGACAATTAGAAGTAACTTAAGTAGAAAACAACTTCAGTTCAGTTCAGTTCAGTCGCTCAGTCGTGTCCGACTCTTTGCGACCCCATGGACTGCAGCACGCCAGGCCTCCCTGTACATCACAAACTCCCAGTGCTTGCTCAAACTCATGTCCATTGATGGTGATGCCATCCAACCATCTCATCCTCTATTGTTCCCTTCTCCTCCTGCCTTCAATCTTTCCCAGCATCAAGTTCTTCTCAACAAGTCAGTTCTTCACATCAGATGGCCAACGTATTGGAGTTTCAGCTTCAGCATCAGTCTTCACAATGAATATTCAAAACTGATTTCCTTTAGAATGGACTGGTTGGATCTCCTTGCAGTCCAAGGGACTCTCAAGAGTCTTCTCCAACACCACAGTTCAAAAGCATCAATTCTTCAGCACTCAGCATTCTTTATAGTGTAACTTTCACATCCATACATGACTACTGGAAAAACCATAGTTTTGACTAGACGGATCTTTGTTGGCAAGGTGATGTCTCTGCTTTTCAATATGCTGTCTAGGTTGGTCATAACTTTTCTTCCAAGGGGCAAGCGTCTTTTAATTTCATGGCTGCAGTCACCATCTGCATTGATTTGGGAGCCTAAACAGTCAGCCACTGTTTCCCCATCTATTTGCCATGAAGTGATGGGACCAGATGCCATGATCTTAGTTTTCTGAATGTGAGCTTTAAGCCAACTCTTTGACTCTTATCAAGAGGGTCTTTAGTTCTTCTTTGCTTTCTGCTATAAGGGTGGTGTCATGTGCATATCTGAGATTATTGATATTTCTCCCGGCAATCTTGATTCCAGTTTGTGCTTCATCCAGCCCAGCATTTCTCATGATGTACTCTGCATATAAATTAAATAAGCAGGGTGACAATATACATCCTTGCCATACTCCTTTTCCTATTTGGAACCAGTCTGTTGTTCCATTTCCAGTTCTAACTGTTGCTTCCTGACTTGCATACAGATTCCTTAGGAGGCAGATCAGGTGGTCTGGTATTCCCATCTCTTTCAAAATTTTCCACAGTTTGTGGTGATCCACACAGTCCAAGGCTTTGTCATAGTCAATAAAGCAGAAATAGATGTTTTTTCTGGAATTCTCTTGCTTTCTCAATGATCCAGCGGATGTTGGCAATTTGATCTCTGACTCCTCTGCCTTTTCTAAAACCAGCTTAAACCAAAATAAAGACAAGTGTCATGTTATTTCTGAAAAACTAGATGAAGATCTTGCATCATTTAAGTCTATCGATATATAGACCTCATCCCACCCAAGATTACCATCTCTATCAGCAATATTTCTGCACATATATGTAAAATGTTACCTTTTAGATGTTGAATATTAATTTTTAAATTATTTTTGACATTAAAGAAGAAAAAAATTGCCAAGTTACATTACAAACTGACATTCATCTTAAATTTTGAAAATACTCATTTGTATAGTAATTAGGCAATAAATCTCAATACTTCAGCAAGATGTACAGACAGTGGTGAATGGCAGAATGACACGTTATACAGCTAACTAAAAACAAAATCAGGTACAGATATGATATACAGCCAACTAAAAACAAAATCAGGTAGAAATGAATTCTATCACCTTAAAATTTGTGACAAATGATTTTAAAAGCCAGCTCAACTGTCTTCAGTTTGTATCAGTGAGGGAGGTCCTCTGAAATGCAACTGCTCAATCCCTTTATCAGTGTTTGAACAAATTACTGAAATATCTAGCTCTCTGAAGGCTTTACTCTATTTATAAAGTTGTCGTTATTGGCCTCTACCCAGATTCAGATGTTAGAGATTAGCTTAAAAGCTGAGTCTTGATTGAAATAGATTTAGGTAGACTAGCGGCTGAGCCTGTCCGGTTCACATTGCTGCAATCTATTCGTTTTCGCTGAATGAGACACAGGAGGATGCTCTAATAAAAACCTTTGATACCCAGTCCCTGGAGTCAAGGTGTGAGCTTAGGGCATCCTGTTTCTCAGTTCATAGAAGTGCATAGGTAAATGGAGAAGATATATGCCAATCTTGTGCCAGACTTAGAACTGGTATTCCTGAATAAGCCTGTCTCATCAGAAAAGTGAATGGCCTGTGGCCTAAGGAGCTATTGTTTTGCTTGTAAATTCTTTGTTTTCACGAAAAGGCTCTTTGATTCTTGGAATGTGTTTGTTTCAAAGTAATTTGGTTTGAATTCACTCATGCTCAGAAGTCTCCTTCTGAGACTTCTGAAGGAGTCTAAGCTTTCCTTAGAATTTTACAGCATATGTTTTATATGCAAGCAATACCTTATACATTTTGAAGAAAAGAATTTATATGATATCGATTTTAATTATCAGAGCTTGGTTTCCAAAGCCTACCTGTTTCTATCACATGTTGATAATGAACAGCAATGATATTTTCAAAACAGTAGCAACCTTTTTGGTAACAGATGTTTCTTTATACTATTAAGAGGCAAATGCATAACTGTTTGAGGTGAAGGGATTCAGCTTCAAAATAACTTTCCTGTTTATAAGCTTTCTTGCAGTTTAGATATGCTGCCATCAGGTGGTAGTAATATGTCATATCCATGTGGCTCCACAAATCACATTGTGCTTAAGGTCATCACAAAGATTTATAATAACTAATGCAGATTTGTAAATGAAAATTAAAATAACATATTACATCTTATTTTAGTTCCAGAGCTGAAGATACTTCTAATGGAAGTTTTAAAACGTGTGTATTGGTAGATGCAATTGGGCATGTTTTCTCTCTTTGTTTATGTATTTATTTGTAAATGAAGAGCTTCATCTTACGCCTTCAAAAATTTTAGAAAATACAGAAAAGTAAAATTAAAAACACCAAATTTTCATCACTCAAAGATAATTGTTATCAACCTTTTGTTTCATTTTCTTCCAGTCTTATTTTTTTAACATGCAATCTTTAGTATATTCTGGGTTTTTTGTTTTTTTTGGAGGGGGGAGTAGATTTTAATGGTAGGAAAAGGTATTTAGCCGTAGTAACTGTATATACAGTATATATCTTTTATAACTTTTAAAATTGTAACTTCTTTGTAACTGTTTTATGATTTCTTAGTTTGGTTGATTGAGGTTTTCCATAATTTAGTCATTCATATATTAGTAGATAATATATGTTTTTGATTTTGGTCATCAGGAGTATTTTATCTCTGTCTTCCATCCTTTGCCTACCAAGAGGATCATTATTTCATTGCAAATATGCTTGAATTTTTATTTAACACAGATGAATTTCTAATTAATCTTTTAGTAGCTAGATGTGTTTCCTCTGTTGCATTTGAAATGAAACTGCCAGAAAATTTGAACTTCCAATTTTCAATTATGAATGAAAATATAGTTTTCCTGTTTCTATTTCCTGTTACTATTCCTGTTACTATCATATGGATGTTTTATAATTTTGTAAATTGTGTGTCACCAGGTACTGCATATAAACATTTTAGGACCCTATGATATTATGTGACAGCTCCATTACCTACTTCCTACCAAAATAATTTTTTTCTTTTCTTTTTTATAGCATAGAATGTTGCATTAAAGAAATACAGTCTGAAGTTAACAAACAGTGTCCAGATGTACAGCTGCGAACGACGACTGACTGCTTTGAATGGCTAAATAATTATAATTATAGTTCATCCAAGTCACCGTCCATTCCCCATGGAGATTTGATAAAATTTCTCAAAATACTGGTAAAAATATATATAATCTTTGTTTTAATGGTGGAGTGGGGTGGGTGAACCTGGAATGCATTTCATCCAGTTTCCATATATAAATATTTATTTCATTGACCATATTAGCCTGTCATATCTAGGGTTTGTGTTTTGTTTTACTTCTCTATCTGCAGTGGAATCCAGTGAGCTCTATATTTTTATTTTCTACTGTGACTTTTATCATAAAATGAAGTTTATATAAGTGGGCATTAAGCATTATAATTCTTGGGTGACTTGTGGTATGATATTTGCTGTATCAGCATCACAAAATGTATTGAAATGTACCACAGTTGTCCATCAGAAAATTTGGTATTTATTACATTTTGTGTCCCTTCACAACTACTCATTTTCCTGGGCTCATTATTAAGCACAATAAGATCAGCATTGATTGTGTCTGTTAAGGAGCCTTGTCCACCACTCCATTCATTCCCAACCTGCAGGCATATCTAATTCTTTTCAATCAAGGCAGCAGTTTCTACAAGACCACTGTTAATTGATGGAATATTATTACATTGGTTACTCTTGGATACTGACCACGCTCTATGTTAGACAGGTTTTTATAGCCTTCAAGAAGAATACTTATTTTATTTTACTTATATCTACAAAGGCAACAAGCTTGCAAAATCAGTTTCCTAGGGAAATAGCACAATTGTTAGAAAGCAGGATTTCTGTAGCTATGGTTTTAATTTAATTTAGGGGCGAAAAAAAGGGCACTGTTTTTGTCTAAACAAACCTTGACTCAGGCAGATGTGGAAAATATCTTGAGGTTGTAGATGGCTTAGGATGACAGAATCCGATGAAAATAATTTTTGGCTGTTATTATTATTGCAGATGTCTCTTTAATGTTTACAGAATAATAAAAGGAAGAGAAAGGAAGATTATGTGCCCTGAAGGCTTATTCTTTTAAGAAAATCCTCTCACCCATTATCTCTTGAAGGTGGAGCCTTGAAGAATAAATATGGATATAGTTATTCCTTTAATTTCTATTAAGAGCCATGTGTAGTGAATTTCATTAATATTGATGTAATAATGCTTTCTCATTTAATTAAAAGCAAAAGCTTTTAATTATCTTTTAATCTGTCACACATAAGTCATTCTCTATTCACTGCAGGGCAAAGGCCGCCTTAGTTTTGCTCAAATTCATTAGACTGGTAGGCCCCTTCCAGACCTAGGTTTTTTTTTTTCTTTGTAACATAATTGATCATGTTATTTTGAGAACAGAACCACATTATTTAAACAGATCCAGATTAAAACGACCTTATCAAATTTTTACATGCAGAAAGTGTCAATCTTGACAGTATTTTTTCATACCTCAATTTTTTTTCCCATAGAATGTTTTTATTTATTAATTATCTAACTATTTAAACAAGGAACAGAGGTTCTAATTATGGCAGTTATATAAAGTCATTTTCAAAATTTAGGCAATCAATACCTAACACATGTTTTAAACCTCTGTAATCTATTATTCTTTAAATGTTTGCTTGATCAAGTATTTAGAGTTATTGACTGATTTAAAGAAACCCACGTTTGAGGCACTAATAAGACCAGTTTTTTTCTACAGAATTTACCATAATGCTGGTGTTCTGGTCTCTTGTCTAAGAACAAGAGTTTTCCAGAAAGTATCAAAAAGAACTAAATAGAAGAAAGAGAGAAAGCGGAGCTTCAGAAAACTCAGTTTACTTTTTGGTTCTCCAGAGTGTAGATGGAAAGAACGTGGATGAGGAGAATGGGACCAGGCATCCATTCTTGGCTCTGTGCTTTATTGCATGTGACATTTGGAACATTTGGAACATTTGGACATTTGGAACGTGCTGCACTCTAGTGTCCTTCTCTGTAAATTGGGGTCTTAAGTATCTGCATCACAGAGTTTTCCTTATGAATAAGTCAGAGACTCGAGAGAAAAGTACTTTTTATATAGTAAACTGCTATACGGATATTAGGTATTATTATTTATTACAGATAGAACGTCAAATCAGACATCACAGTGCTTAGAATCACTGAGAATTTGTCTCAGAGTTGTTCATGATTCTGAGTCACAAATACCTGTGTTACCTTTGTCAATAAGAGATTTCAAAGCTGGACTGATTTTAGACTGCTTGGACCTTGCTTCCATTTAAAAAAAATAGATAAAAAGCAGCTTGTTGCTACTTGGAGAATATAAGCTAATGTCCATACGACCTGAAATGATCATTAGGAGAGTAACATGTAAAGAGAATGTGTGTATTTAATTCAAAGTCCAAAAAGAAAGTAATTTTTTTGTCCCTTTTCTATTCTTAATTACACCTACAATTGTTTCTGTCAGTTAACACAGAAAGTGTAAAAAAAAAATTTTCATATCTTTTGAAGAACAATTCTGAGAGTGTTTTTTTCTCATTTTGAGTTAGTTATTTCTTTGGAGAGACCTGAAAAATCCTAATTTCCAAAGTAAAATCTTTCTTAATGTGACTCAAAAAGAAATTTAAATGAAAGTTAAAATCTTCAAATGTATTAAACTATATTTCTCAGTATGGCAGCTATTAGTAAGCCCTAGGCATAATACTTTGCTTAAAGGTCTCCATTCTCTATGTTCATTTGGGGTTTTATAATAATAAGTATACTCATTCAGGCATGAAAATTATCTACTAGGTATTAATTAGGGGTGTCATCTTGAATTCATTTTGTCTTAGGGGTGCATTTCAGTTGATATTTTACTATAGATTTTTATTTAGAATTTTTAAGCTAATGCTTCCATACAGCTCAGGTTATATCAGGAATGGATAACAATGAAGAAAAAACTGTGTGTCTCGAAATCTAATTGAAAAATTCGTTCATCATCTGGGCTTTACAAAACTTAACAGACCACAAAGCTAATATTCTAAAATGTCTGAACTGATTAAATTTCAAAGGCAAAAAAAAATATATTTTTTTTAAATCATAGTATTGATTCTTGAATTGAAATGAATTATGAAATTCTGTGTATCTGTAGAAATCATTTTCTCCTTCTACTCTTATAATCACATTTCTAACATTATGATTTACTTTTATTAGCAAGATTTGTTGAAGAATGAACAAAATCAAGAAGAGATGGTATTGAATTTACTTTGGGACCTCTCCTGCCAGAGCAGTGTTTCATTCCCATCCATTGTAAGTGGAGCATCTTTCCATTTCCTCTCTAGGGCTTCTCTTCATTCTGTTGAAGACCATTCCTCAATGGATGTAAAGTCTGTATGGGATGATATAAGACTACATCTTCGACGCTTCTTAGTGAACAAATTACAAAGCCACAGTGAAATAAACAATTCACAGCAAAAAATTTTGTTGAAAAATCAGTGCATACAGCAACTCTTATTTCTTTATCCAGAATCAGAAGTTACAAGCAAGTACCAAAGCATACAGAATAAACTGTTGACCAAACTTCTGCAGAACTGTTTTCCTTCTTTTAGCAGAGAATCAAATTTAGACATAATGGTTGATAGATACCAAGGTACAATGCTTAAGTTATACTCAATGATAAAAGAGGATTTTAACACACTACATGATATTTTAGCTCCATCCTCAACAGTGAAATTCATTAAAGAAACTTACCTGGATACTGTTACAGAAGAAATAGCAAAATTTCTTGAAAATTTTTGTGAGCTGCAGTTCAAAGAAAGTGCTTCCCGTGTGGTTAAAGCAAGCAAGAGCTCCAGCAGGCATAGAGGAACAGTGCATGCTTTGGGTTAGTGACTTTCTTATATTTCTGTTTGGTTTAACTTAAACCTTTAAAAATCTTTAATTTTCTAACTTTTCTATTTGGTTAAACTTAATTGCAAACTTGAAAATAAATCAGAAAATAAATGTTGTAAAAGTTTCCACTTCACATTTCTTTTACGCTTTTCTTTTTCTGTAAGTATAGTAATACAAGTGTTTTCTTTCCTGTCATTAAATTGTTAAAGATATTGGAATGTAAGTCAGAAATATTACCAGTAAGACTTTCAGTTTTTGAATCACATAAATTACTGGATGAAACATTTAACTCATTGTATCTTCCAAGGCTGAAGCATTAAGGAAAGAGAATGGTTGAACATTTTTTGACATTTTCACTAATTAAAATTGGAAGTTTAAAATTCTGACATTTTAGTCAGCCGATGCCAATACAGACCTACTATGAAATGCTAATTATAAAATTCTATATTATAATTGGTTGTGGAAGCTAGCATTAGCTGTAGCTGATTTTAAAAGTTCCTCTGATGTTGTTCCTATAAGAATATATACAGTGAAAGAGGGTTTGAAGATTCTTAATTTTAATCAAAAGATAAAGAAGAATCTGTTATAATACATTTTTCTTGTCATTTTAGTTTCTTACCAGTGAAGAAAAATTAAGGTTGAAAATATGATTATTTTGAAAATTATGATTACTCAAGCTTTTACATAGAATGCTGAGATATAATTCTAAATAGATTCCTAAACTGTATTTGTATTAATAATTATTTAAGAATTATCATTTGCTGACTTGCTGTTTTTTAATTTATAATCATATAAAATTTCCATAGATCACTGTAGTTTACCTACCTTCCTTAATAAGATACCAGGATACCAAATTGCTCTGATATATGAATATATTGTATGAACATGATGTGTGAATTTTCCAATAATTTAATGTTTTCTCTTAGAATGTTTATTTTCTTTGGGAAACCATCACATCACAGAATAGAGATGCATCATCCAAGTTGAGGTCACAGCAGAATACAAAGTCAGTTCATTTAGGAGCATTGCAGTTTTACTCAAAGTAAATAGATCTTCATTTTAATTATTACTTAAATTTTAAATGTATTTTCACAAGTACACTTATTTTCTATAATTTTTATGTTCTCTCAAAAAATTTCTGGTTACTTTTGCTTTCAATATGAAAGTTTTATATGTGCCAAATACAGTTTAGTTTATAACAGAAGGAAAGACCTATATCATTAAAAATATGTGTAAGTTGCTATGGAGTCTTTAGGGCTGGTAATGAAGTGTTTTCCATTCATAAGAGAGAACTATGTGTGTTGGCTTTAACACCAAAATTTGAAGCCCTTTCCAAAAGTCCAAACGCACCGAACTTTCTCAAGCTGCTTTATCTGAACTTTGGTATAAATCACTTGTTAAGTGAATGTTTTCCTTGTGCCAAACACTGTAATAAGCTCATCCCTTTCCTTAATATCCCAATTTCATAAACAAAGAGAGAAGTTTAGAAAGATTAACTTGCTTTTGGTCCTTTGCACCAAGTCAGGATTCACATGTAGGTCTTTATGTCATCAAGACCCGTATTCTTTACCATCATGGTATTGGGCTTTAAAGTGTAAAATTAAATGTTTTGTCTCTGTAAAAGAAATTTCAAACGGCACTGTTCAAGTGGGCTGCCTGAAAATCAGTTCAGTTCAGCCTTGTTGAGCACATGCCATAGGCAAGGCATTTAGCAGCTACCATATTGAGGGTTTCTAAGCTAGACATGATAAAGGGGAGAAATCTAAATGAGTTAACTGCTGCTGAGGCTGTAACAGAGAGCAGTCATATTTTCCAATAATATTTAGCCCGATGACCAAGTTTTTGTTTATTAAAGAAATACAGTTTGAGACTAGCAAAATAATAATTTATTAATATTTATAAATAATTTATAATAATTTATAGTCCTATGTAAATAGAATCTAGATTGGCTTGAATGGGTTATATATTATCTTTTGTATATGTCTATGTGTTTATTCATCAAGTCTTTGATATTTTGCCTGAAACCCTAAACATTCTCTTAAGTAACAATAGCTCCACATTTATCGGGTCAGATACTGCAATGTGTTATTTCATTCTAACCACCCAGCAAGGTAGGTCACATTATTTATCTTTATTATATAGTGAGAAAACTAAGACATAGAGATATTAAGTAAATCTGGTCAAGGTTACAACGTGAAGCCAGGACAGTCTGTCTGACTGGGGTGTCCTGACTCTATGATTACACTCTGTGACCTAAAAGAACAGGACAGATATAGCTCATTCCATTAAGAACACTGTTGTGAATGCTCTGTAAGCTCAGATCTACTTTAGTGTTGTCATTGTTTTACTTTCCTCTAAACTATCCCACACTCTCTTCTCATTCAAAGAGATAACTTAAGCAGACCTTGTATATACACTAGTCTTTTTTTCCCCAGCCTTATTGAGATATAATTGACATACAGCATTTTGTAATTTTAAGATGTACAGTGTGTTGATTTGTACCCTTCATATTTCAAAACGATTGCCACAGTCATGTCACATAATTACCATTACTTTGATATGGTGAGAACATTTAAGATTTACTTTCTTATCAATTTCAAGTATATAATACATTATAATTTCTATAATTGCAATGCTCTACATTAGACCCCCAGAAATCATAAATCTTCTAACTGGAAATTTGTACCCTTTGACCAATATCTTCTCCATCCACCTTCCCCTGGTAACTACCTTAATACTCTGTTTCTTTGAGTTCAGTATTTTTTAGATTTCACATTATAAGTTTTATCATATATATCTGTCTTTCTTTGACCACCTGACTTATTTCACTTAGCGTAATGCCTTCAAGGTCCATCCGTGTTGTTGCAAATTGCAGGATTTTCTTCTTTCTCATGACCGACTAGTATTCCATTTTATGTCTCTCAATCTCACATATTCTTTATCCATTCATTCATATGGAGTAGGAAATGGCAACCCAGTCTAATATTCTTGCTGGAGAATTCTGTGGACAGAGAATCCCGGCAGGCTCCAGTTCATGGGGTCACAAAGACTTGGACACGACTGAGCAGCTAAGCACATTCATTCATAAATGGACCCTCAGGATATTACCTTATCTTGGCTATTGTGATTAATGCTGCAGTAAATGTGGAAGTGCAGATAGCTCTTTGATATCTTGTTTTCATTGCCATTAGATATATATCCAGAAGTAGGATTGCTGATGGTTTTTCTATTTTTCAATTTTTTTGTGGAACCTCACCATTTGCTACCGTGTCTGTAATACCAATTTATGTGCCTACCAACGGTGCACATGGGTTCCCTTTTCTCTACGTCATCACTAGTGCTTGTTATCTATTGCCTTTTTCATGATAGCAAAGTGTAAGGTGATATATCATTGTGGTTTTGGTTTGGATTTCTCTGATGACTAGTGATCTTGAGCATCTTTTCATGTACCTGTTGGCCATCTGTATGTCTTCTTTGGAAAAATGTCTCTTCCGGTCCTCTTCCCATGGTTTCATCAGATTTTTGTTGTTGTTATGGAATTGTATGAGTTCTTTGAGTATTTTGGATATTGATGCTTACTAAGTATATGGTTTGCAAGTATTTTCTCCCTATCAAAGATTTTCTTTATTTCTTTTTTTTCTGGTGGATAGTTTCTTTTGCTGTGCATAAGCTTTCCAGTTTGATGTAGTACCACTTATTAATTTTTGCTTTTGGTATTATATCCAAAAAATCATTGCCCAGACAAGCATTAGGGAACTTTTTCATTATCTAGGAGTTTTACGGTTCCAGGTCTTAGGTTTCAGTTTAATCCACTTTGAGTTGATTTTTGTATGTGATGCAAGATAAGGTACAGTTTCATTCTTTTGCATGTTTTATCTACTTTTCCCAACACCATTTATTTAATCCTTTATCCAGTGAGTATTCTTGGTTCCCTTGCAAATACTGGTTGACCATATATGCAAGAGTTTATTTCTGGGTTCTCAATTCTGTTCTATTGGTCTATGGGTCTATTTTTATGTTTTGTTATTTGAAGAAAATGATGAAATAATGTCATAATGTAAACATCAAAGACTCTTAGTGGTTTGGTAATCTATCTTAGAAAAAAAGAGTATTATTTTTGCAGACACTCTTTTTTTAATTGGGATTTTATTTTACTTACTCACTTTGGTTTTACTTTTTGGCTATGCTGCACAGCGTGTGGGATCTTAGTTCCTAGACCAGGGATCAAATCCATACCCCCTGCACTGAAAGCACAGAATCTTAACCATTGGAACACCAGGGAAGTCCCTAGATAATAAGTGATTAAATCATTAAATTGCTTTTAAAATTGTATTTTCTTTGGATTTAAGAAAAGATATTGCCTCTTTTCTCAGTGCTTGAAAAAGAGAGGATTGTTTATGTGCAGTAAGTTTAGTTAGATAAATTCACTGTTTTAATATGTAAGAATATAGTTAGAAAACTTCAATCATAGTATAAATGTCACGATCCCCTGTCTATCTTACATTGAATTTTCCTTAAGGTGATTGTTAGCTTGAAAGGGAAAGACTTAAGAGTATATGATACACGCCTTTGAGTGTTCTGAAGGTTTCTAAAGATCTGCAGTGGATGAGAGGTTGAAACTTAGTGGCCTCTACCCCTCCGGTTTCTCAATTCCTTTATATTTTGTTTCAGGAAGATTGGGGAGTAGGGGAAACAGAATCCCTCTAGGAATGATAAGATCCTTTAAAGTAAAGACCCTCAAGTCAAGATAAAGGTAGAATTTTGACTATGAAGGCACAGATCACAACTGGAAAGTAGGTCAGTCAAAACCACCCTAATTTCTCTCCTACTCCTCAAGTATCTCTGATTGGCTGAGTGATGCTCTCAAGGAAATTTAAAGTATACTGAGGCCAGTATGCAAAGTGTGTACAAAAGAAGCATCTGTATGGTATTGTTGCAGAAGAGACCAAGTCTCCTAGAAAGATACCACATCTCTTGACCCTGTTGTGTTCA